GTGACGTCAGCACTTAGAGGTCAGCACACCTGCCACACCATGACATCAACATTTAGAGGTCAGGATACCTGCCACACTGTAATGTCAGCACTTAGAGGTCAGGATGCCCGCAATCCCATGAGGCACACCTATTACTTCCATTCATCTCACTGCATCCTCTCTTTCTCTTTGACAAGAACACTAACCCACAATCCTCCATCTTTGCAAACTGTACCCACACAGTTCCAAGTCGACATTGTTGTCTCTCTCGATTAACTCTGGTTTTATAGCATGATATGATCACACTAGGCAGACGTGAATGTAAAACACTGTTGTATAACAATGCCAAGGTTTCATTTCATTTGTGTTAAAAACAGTAATTGGTCATTCTTGAATTAAAAATGAACTCCTTAGGCCGGAAAATGGCCTAGTGGGTAAAGTGTCTCCCATACAAACATGAGGAACTAAGTCTGGGTATCCTGTACCCACGTAACAAGCTGGGCACCGTGGTGCCCTGCACCGTAGTGCTGGGGGAATTGGAGACCAGAGGCTTCCTAGAGCTCTCTGGGCAGCTATCCCAGCTGAATCAGTGAGCTCCAGCCGCTGTGAGGGGCATTGTCTCAACATGCAAGATGGACAGCGATTGAGGAACACATGAATGTCAACTTCTGTCCTCACACATGACTAACACACACACACACACACACACACACACACACACACACACACACTCACCCAAAACACATAAATACCCACAAACATGTACATGTGCATATAACACATAAATTAAAACTTAACTCATTGAACAGTGCCTAATTTCTAAGTTGGTTAGCTGAGTACATTAAGAATTATGGTTGCCTTTGAGCCTCCTGGCTACACCTGTTAGCGCAGACACACATGTCCCCTTCTGAGAGGACCAGCCTTGAATTAGGAGAGTTCTGGATCAGAAGTGACTTTCAGGAATGTAATACAGACAGTCCAACAATGCTATTTTTTTTTCTATCTTACACCTTTGGGTTCTAGTTAGTATCAGGCTTCACAGCTTATTAGCAAAATAAATACCAGACCCAAGGCTTAACAAATTTATTTTGCTTTTGAGACAGGATCTTGATATGTAGGTAGTCAAGGCAACTTACAGTTGTTCAAACTAGAATCCTGTTTATCTATCTATCTATCTATCTATCTATCTATCTATCTATCTATCTATCTATCTATCTATCTATCCATCCATCCATCCATCCATCCATCCATCCATCCATCCATCCATCCATCCATCTATCTATCTATCTATCTATCTATCTATCTATCTATCTATCTATCTATGGTGTGTGTGTGTGTGTGTGTGTGTGTGTGTGTGTGTGTGTGTGCGCTGCGTGCACATGAGTGTGTAGGTATGCATGCTTATGCTCATGACCTGAGGCCAGGCCAGGATGTCAGGTGCTTTCCTCTGTCACTTTCCACCTTGTCCCCTTGAGAGAGGGTCTCTCACTGGCCTGGAAACTTGCCATTTGGGCTAGGCTGCCAGCCCAGCCCAGGGACCCATTTCTCTCTGACTCTCAATGCTAGGTCACAGGCACCCGTAGCTACACTTGGTATTTTAAGTGAGTGCTGGGGGGTTTGACCTCAGCTTCTCATGTTCACAACTCCACTGAGCCATCTCCCAGTTCTAGAACCATTTCCAAAGAATCCAGACTCCAATATAAAATAGAAGGGTAAGAAGAGGAGAGTGTGTATGTGCAGCACAATTCTGTATTTAAACGTGAGTCAATAATCACAAAGATTCAGATTCAAGTCCATAGATTATGAGTTACCTAAATTGGGCTCAGTATAGTCTTAGAGTAAGAGAGAAATCCTGGAGCTACTGTGCAGTGTGTGAGACAGGATGTTCCAATTGGGAGTCACAATTCTTAGGGTACCAAAAACACAGACACGGTTATAATCTCATAATGAGTACCTGCAATCTCGAACCCCAAAAGAGTCATTGGTAATCTTGATGTAACCATCTGGACACTTGGCTACATAATTAGCTGAGCAGCCTTGGCACTCCGTCCTGATTGTTAGAAAAGACTTCTTATCACACCTTCTCGCCTGTGCAAATGCAACAAAGAACACCGATTCCTGTTATCAGAGCCTTGCGAAGTACCTGGTATGACTGCTTGTCCACCTGCTTCATCTCACTGCAGTCAGGAGTGGCAACGAGGTGACTGCCATCAACTGGCTTTGTAGTGCGAGATTCCACAGGGCATCACATCCGGCTTGAATCCTGGAGTGTCAGCACCTAGACTTTGATCGGCCTTTTGGGACTGCTACTTTTTGTTTGAAAGGCTTACTTCTTATCTGAAGGATTTGGAGCCTTTGCAAAACTTAGTTATGAGAGAGAGCTTGGAAAACCAAGACGTCTCAAAGCTTAGAACTGCTTGGGCATTTTTTTTTTAATGCTCTAGAAATTGACTTGCTAAGAGGTGTAAATTGTGAACAATAATTTTATTTTTTGAAGCAACGGGCACTTAGTTTATCAGAAACTGATTCCCCTGCTGTTTGACTAAACCTAAAATTCACCCCGGTGGGACCCTTTTCTTCCCTGGGCCCATGCTAAACAGAACACTGACATGACTTATCTGGCAGGAGTGCTGGGATCAGGGATCAGGGAGCAATGTCTGCCATGGCTGAGTGTGTGGACGTGGTACGGTTTGGGCTAAACACATGCACCATGCCTCGTCTGGAACCTGGAGCCTTACAAGGCAGGGGAAGGCTACTACTCATAGTTACCAAAATGAGGAACCTGAGCTCTCCTGCAGAGGACCCGTTTCAAGGGGGCTAATGTTACAGTGGGTTATTCAAGACCAGTTGTTCATAGATCGATTGTCTTCAAGGATACTATTTCTGATACTATTGCTTCCCCAGGAATGTCTGCTGTGGGGCTAGTGCTGTACTAAGAGGTTTTGGGGGGCGGTTTCTGTTCTAGAGAGATCTGCAGCATTTAGATTTCAACACAATTAGAAAGCAGGCAGCATGAGATCAAAGGTGTTTTGTTTATTGCTATAGCCCAAGCCCTCAGAATGTTGACAGGACACATGGAGGCGATGTCCAGCAAATATGTGTCGATTCGATTAACCCACTGGGGACATCAGACAGGTACATTAGGAGCAGCTATTTGATGACATAATGTGGTCCAGCATTAACTGCTTAACTGAACGATACAGGCAGACTTTGGTCCCTTGTTGCTCCTGATGTTGGAGTTGACCCTCCTGGATAGAGCTCCCTATCTTTCAAGCTTCCTTAATCTCTCTATCAAATTTAGTTGGGAGACAAAACCTCAGAGACCAAAGTGGAGTCTGGATCAAGTTTTGCACCTTGTAAAGTGTGCGGCCTTGAGTGAGCTCTCACTCTTGTCATTAGCTGTTGAAGGGAGACATTAGCTAACTCTCTGGGACATGCCAGATGCAAGCTGCCTGGCCCAGTGCCCGGATGAACGTAGTAACGGACGACAGCTCCTGAGGCTCTTTTCTGTCCGTTCTCAGAGTCTGGTGGTGATCTGGCCCCACAGGGATGCTCTGCCTAGGCTAACTAACCATCCTAGATCCTTCAAGGGCATCTCTCTCTTCGTCGTCTCTCCCACAAACCCCACTCATTCCTTGTCTTCAAGTCTTCCAGCAGTTTGCTATTGTTTATAGTTTTGAGAGAGCATTCTAAGTAACCACACCCCACCTCACACACACTAGGTGGCCAATGATAGCCTTGAACTTCTGATCCTTCCTCCCAAACACCGGTGTGGTCCGTCACAGCGAGTGTGTGCGGATCCAGGGATAGAACCCGCGTTCTTGCGAAGGCTAGACAAACGCTCTACCGGTGGAGCTGCAAACCCAGTGCCCCCGTTATGAGTCTTTGCTCTCTATTTAAGATTTCCAGGCAGTACAGGGCCGTGTCTCGTACTTCTTTGTCCTCATAGCACCCGCTAGGTGTGATGGAAACATCATTGTCACCTCTAAATTCATCAGAAAGTAGAAAGTCTGCAGGGGAAGACACCTTCCAACACAGTATGACTGTGTCGACTCCCAAAGATGCCATTTGCATTGCTCCGGGGAGTAGGGCAAGGGTCACAGCTCTCATTGCAGGGGTGGTGGGGTGTGGACTGAAGATAGTTTGGAATACTTAGCGACTTTCCCAAAGTCACATACGAGTTATCAGCCTCCCAATTCCTGAACTAGCCCTCTTCGCAAGCACCCAAGCAACACAGAGATAAACAACCTCTACTTTGACTAAAAATCTTCCATTTGGTGATCATTGTGACCCAATGTGCCCCTGGCTGTTACCTATAGAATACACAACACTCCCTTTAACTGTTGTGGCATGATTCACTTTTTCTAAAAGTAGGGTTTAATTTACACTGGAGTTTCTCTTTGGATTGATGGATAAGTTGAGGTCATATTGATTTTTCCTTCTTAATATGTCCAATTTGATTCTCTTTTAAAGCCATTCTTTGGGCTGGGAATGTGGGCCAGTTCATAGAATACTGGCCCAGAATGCCCAAAGCCCAGGGTTCAATTCTCAGGATTGCATAAAACCGTGAGTTTGTGATGCAGGCCTAGAATTCTGTCACCCAAGAAGTGGAGGCAGGAGGATCAAACATTCAAGGTCATCCTCAGCTACATAGCAAATTTGCAAGATATTTTTTGCAAGATATATTTGTCCGACTTTCAAATTACTGTTTTCAAATGGACTGACTCATTTTATAAACTTAAACCAACTGAAGAAGAAACTTAGCTTTGACCAGCAGTCAAGGCCGGGTGCCGGTATGGAAGTAAGTCCTCTCCACACTGAAGTTAACGGTGGCAGCAATTTCTACCATTGGCAGAGCTGTGTCTTGGGAGTGATGGAAACTTGGAGGGGTTAACTTGCTTGCTTAAGGCTGGTGTAGTGGGCAGCCCTGGGGCCCCTCCTCTACCATCTTGTGAAGTGGCAGATCAGATGGACCCTCCTCTAACTTTTGGGCTGGAGAGGCACACATCGTGTTATCTGCCATGTTCTCTGGAAAGAGCCCTCAAAGCGCAGCCGGAGTGGACTTGCTGCCGCTGCATCCATCTGCTGCTGAGATCAGACACTCCAAACCCATCTTAAAATAAATTGCCTGAGGTTTCTACTCACCGAGATTCAACCTCATCCTGCGATGGTACCTGTGTGATCCTCTCTGGGGTCCCTCGTACTGATGCAGTGAGTGAGGCCCCCAGAGAGGTCACCATGGTCCTCCACTACAGTCTGAGGAAGGCAGAAGGCACGTTGCCAGTGCCTGACGGGTTTTGGAAATGTTTCTCATGCTTGCTTTCATCAACAAGACACTATCAATCTACCCTGGAATTCCCCTGGGCATCTGCCCATAGCCGCACTTGGCTAGTATATTTGGGAAGATGGGGTGTGAGGTACCCACAATGATCAGGTGGTCCAGACAAAACAGCACACAGCTCTGCAGGAAAGAGAAACGTTAGGACTAAACTCAGAGATTCCAACCGCAGAGTCAGCACAGCAGATGAGAAAGAGCCAACTCGGTCCACCCCAGAAGGACAGCATCTCACCTTGAGAATCTTAGTCTTGGAAGTTTTCTTTTGATTTTTATGAAGTCCAGGCAGGGCTTTTTGCCCAAGATTATGCGAGAAAACAAAACCATCTAGAGCACAGTGTGAAAATTAACAAGGAAAAATGCAGGAAAGTTTCTCTTACCGGTTCTGTGGCTTCGGCTGGGGTGCAGGTATTTTGCACAGCCAACCCCAGGAAGAGGGGGATTAAAGGCAGCAGCAGCATGCTGAGCAAATGCTGGCTCCTTCCCATGCCGGGCCAGGTCAGGGCCATTTAGCTATTTTACCTTGCTTTGCTGAGTGCCCGGGGAACTCTTTCTCATGTCTGTGTCTACTCTTAAATCCTTCCCTTTCCCTGGTCAGAAAGCAAAGGTAGCTGAGGCCTGGCTGACGGTCCACAGGAGCTGGAAGTGGCCACTCTGAGCTGTATATAAGTCCTGGCTGAGTGACAGGATTTCCTGAGGGGCTGAGGCAGAGACCCAACTGGGATTTCTGTGCCTTGCGAAATTCCCAGGGATGGAGAGCTCCCTCTCCTATTGCTAGGCCTACTGGACCTGCCTGCTGCCCTGTTGTCCTTTCTATGCCACACCGTGAGTCATCCTGGGCCTGTCTGTTCCAACACATAGGTTCAGATTTTCTGTAGTGTTGTATGTGTTGTATGGGCATGTGTGTTCATCTGTTAGAATTTATGCACACCACATGCACGTAGGTGTCCACAGAGGCCAGAAGAGGGTGTTGGATCCCCCCTGGAACTGGAGTTGCAGGTGGCCAGAGCAATGAAATGTTGCAAAATGCTTGGTGTTAGGTTCACCTGGGTGTTTTTTGTGTCTGTTCATTATGCAGAATTCTTGGCCAGAGTGTAAAATATTTTCCTCCTTCAAATCTGATTGTAATTTTGAAACAAAATGATGGCTTTTTATATTTTAAATATAGAATTTATTAAAAGGAATTTTTAATATTTCTTCTTTAAAAAATCTCGTCTTTAGTTCTGACCTACTGATTAATATTGCATTCTTTTTTTCTTTGCCTGCCTCTTTCCCAGCTTTGGGTGAGAATATCTTGTGTTTTTATAAAGCAAAGGACACATTGAGGTAAACTGAGATTGGTACAAAGTTTCCACCTTCTTTAAACAGAAGTCTTCTCTGTTTAAGGATTTATTCAGGTGAAACTCCAAATGACATTTTGTTTGGCTGATATACGTAGGTGCTCGCCTGAGTATCTTTATTTGCTCTGATTAGATAGATTTTTTTTTATAACCACTTAGTCACTCAACAAACATTTATCGAACACTACATACTCTGCTGGCTTCTGAGAACAGGGAACTGGATAAATCATACTCATTCATGATAGCTTCTAGTACACGTGTGTATACACCGTCTCACTTAAATATTACAATTTTGGAAAACAAAATGGATAAGGAGTGTGATCTTGGCTTGACAGGTATGACAATTCAGTGCTTTATTTATGGTCAGTAAGGTGACGTGGGGGTGTAGTAGCAATGCATGTCCTGGTGTTCTTACCCTGGCCAGGTACTCTGCCAATGCAGGCAGCCACCACTGTAGCATCTGAGGTTTAAGTTAAGAATGATCTGTGTCCCGTATAATCCAGTTATAATCCAGTAAGGCTTAATCAAACTGGCTGCTGTCTCTTTGTTGTCTCACAGAGGCACGGCCACAGAGACCCTGTGGTTGATGCTGGACACGCCTGAGGCACACGTATTATCTTAGGCCAGTCTGCATAGAGAGCTGTTGGCTAGCTAAGGCTATATAGTGAGCCCTTACAACCAAACAACAACTATGGCCGACGTTCTCATCAGTGCGTATCAGAACTGAGAGTGATGGATTACCCAGACTGCTAGCCCATTAGCCAGTCTACTGGCTTTGCCATCCTGTCATGGTATAACGTGGGCAAATTACGTTATAATCACGTAAGCTTCAAGTTTTATGTAAAGGGACATGCCTATGCAGGCATGTCCATCATGTGAGTTATGACCTGAATGTAGCTGAAGATAGCTATGAATTCAGCCCAACGCAAGCATGCTACATAGTTGAGGTTGACCTGGCATTCCTGGTCTTCTTGCCTCTGTGTCCAGAGTAGGTTGGACTGCAGGTGTGTGCCACCTGGCCTGACTATTACCCTGCTGATCCACCTACAAGTCAGGTGTGATTGCTTCAATGCCTCACAATTACGGCACCAAAGGGAAAGTATCCTAGGATGTTGAACAGGCAAAATAACGGGAGCACACTGGGGCTGAAGAGTTCTTGCCATGCTGGGGTTTTGCTCTTAGTATTTCACCAGCCTCTAGAGGCTCAACCAAACCGAGCAGGCCCTCTCCAAAGTCAAAGGTCAGCTAAAGACATCTGAACATAGACTCGTTTAGCTTCAAGTGTTATTAGGAGCTACCTCAGAATGTACATCTTCACAGAGAGACAAGTTTTTAGTTTATTACCATTTCTTGGGGAACTGTTGTTTTTTAAGGATATTATGGGGTATCACATGCTGAGATTCCAGAGGCTGCCAGTCTCAGCTGGAAATGCTTACGTCTTGGGTAGGATGCACACTGGGGCCAAGGCACTGCCTGCGGGTGAGGCCTCCTATAAGGCATAGCAGGATGAAGGCGCCTTGGACAAAGGTCCTTGCCTGTGTCTGGCCCTGTGCTCTCCCGGTTCCTCAGTGTGATGTTCTACTCTAGTAAATCAATGCATCGGTTGTGAGATGCTGACATGACTGGGGGATTTCCTGAGCACTCACGGGATCCTGGCTTTTCGAGGAGTCAGCTTTCCTAAGCGGGGGATGTATCCAGCACGTGTGTCCTTGCTCTCAAGGCCCCTTCCTTTTCCTCTGTTAGTTTAGATCTCTGCACACAGCAAACCTTGGTCTCTCTCTCTCTCTCTCTCTCTCTCTCTCTCTCTCTCTCTGTGTGTGTGTGTGTGTGTGTGTGTGAGTTTTATTTTTTCCTTTTAGTGAAAGCCAGTCAGCTGGTCTTGCGGTAGACAAAATTGTAAAGGAGGCAAAGTTTCTTTCAATTCCAGCGCTCCATGTCCTTCTCTGTATTTTTCTTCTTCTCATTCATTCAATCATTTAATCAACCAGTAGACAGTGGGCACATAACCATTCCTACACCACTTTTCTGGCATGCATGTCAGCCCACGGCAGTCAGGGCTTATTTAGCACACAGGAGTAGCCGACGGTATGCATGCCAGTTCATGGCAGACAGGGATGATTTAACACACAGGAATAGTGAAAATAGTGAATATTTACCACCCAGTTGCTCCAGCGTTTGCTTTAAACAAGCCTCATATAACTCAGGCAGATCTTGCATTCATCCTTTTGCGTCCAGCTCCGAGGTATGGGATTACAGGTGTGCACCATCATACCCAGCTCAGGTAATTTTCGTTTTTTTTTTTTTTTTTAATCAGAAATATCAGCAGCTGCCACTGAGTCTACCATTAACTGGTGGAATCCTATCACAAATCCAGTAACTTCTTCCTGTCTCCACCATTTCCCCTTGAATGAGACCACGTGATTGCTTGCCTGTGTTATGGTAGTAGCATCTGCCTTGGTCGCCCTCCACTCTTTACGATCCTCCTGTAAACAGTGCTCACTCAGAGATCTCTGTTACAGATATAAGTAAAACCACGTGGCTGCTGTCTTGTTTGTTGCCACCTGTCTGGCCCCTCTGAAGCACCAGGTCTAGGATGACATCTTTCTACATGTCTCCTTCTGTGCGCGGCTAGCTGATGCACTGTTGTGAATGAGTCCACACGTATCTGTTATGTGTTCTGCCCTTTGCACTGGGTTATTTAATCCCCTAAAAGTCCCCATAGGAAGCACACTGTTATGTCTTTACAAATCAGAAAGCCGAGGCAAGTGGAGATCTCCAACTAGGCCAGTTGCAAAATTGGTGGATCAGTCAAACAGAAGGAAATCTGATATTGGAATGATTCAAGGCCAGGCTCATTCGTTGGCTAGGAGTCTACCCATTAGAACAAGAAATTAAACCCCTATTACATTAAAGCTACAGGTTTTTATTTGACTATTCTTTTTCTAAAGTGGCCTGGTGAAGTATATACAGGGAAGGAATAATACCAGGCAATCTGGGACTGGGAATAGGGTCATCGGCATAGCTAAGAATGGGGAAGGGATGGCTTCCCAGAGGAAAGTCAGGTTCATTCAAGGAGTGAAAGAAGATACTGTGTCCGAAGTAAATGATGGGGGCATATCTGGGAGTGAAGACTCCCCCTCCTCCAAATCAAGATCTGATATGGGATTTCCCTCTGTATGCTACAAAGATCCCCTCTCCAAATCTCTCAATCAACATCATCGTCCAGTGTTGACCTCCTTGCCGAGTTAATCTTCCGACAACTGGTTGACCACTCTACTGCCCATTCAACTGTCTTTTTACCTTTTAGTAGGGTCTTGTTCTGTAACCCTGGGATTAACTATGGAGTCCAGCCTGGCCTCAGATTTATGGTGATCCTCTTGCATCAGCCTCCCAAGTGCTGGGAACACAGCCTGTGCCGTCAGACTCGATTCATTCATCTGGTCTTGCTCGGGGACCCTGTGCACCTGACGACGTACTAGACTCTTGGGGATAGGTGTAGCGCTCAAAGATAAAGCTAGGCTTACCCCACGCCATGGAGGACATGGCTGAGCACACGCTGCCAGACTAGGAACACTGATAGAAATTTTAGCTCACAGTTGCATTAAAACTCAACAGTGCAGCCCATCCTAAATCCTAAGCAAACCTGAAGCAGCTTTGGTCCAGGTTTTGCTCTCTATGTGCTCGTGCGTGATCTCTGAACGTAGAGGTCCACTTTCTCATTCTATTAATGAGCTCAGCAGGATTGCATTCTATTGACGAGCTCAGCAGGATTGAGGACCGCGTGGACCTGCTTCCTTTGCTCTGCTAGAGATAAGAGCATCCTTTAGTCTTTGACAATCATCTTTCCCCTTTGCTCTCCGTTCCCCACATGACCTCAATGTAAAATCCAACATACGTTCTGCAGTTACCAGCTTCCCCTGTCCCTCCCCCTACTTGAACAGAACATAGAACACTTGGACCCTACTGGCCGGAACCCACTATTATTGTCTAATTTCCGAGCAATATTTATGTTCCATTCTTTCCCAACAATGGTTTAAACAATTCTCCAGGGCAGTAACAGGGCTCACACACCAGTATGAGGTGGTCGCGGCTTCATGACAATCATTCAACTGTTTCCTGTTTCTTCGTTTATTCAGTTATTTCATTTTTGAAAAAGAAAACAAAACGACACTAAAAAAACACCCCAAAACGAAAAAGATTGTTTCCTGTCACCACAGAATCGTAGGGTCAGATGCCGTCTCTTAACCCACTGCATTCTCTTCAGACTTCAGGTCAGCAAACTCTCTGTGAAGAACCAGAGGGTAAAATTGTAGGCTTGATAGGCCATAATGTATCTGGAAGCTGCATCATTTTCTTGTGACGTGATCAACAACCAGAGCTAATGTAAAGATAAATGAATGGGTTGTGTTTTGATAAAACACTGTTTACAAAACGGGGGGGGGGGAGTTTTCCCCTGTGGGCGTTAAATCGTGAACTCCTGTTTCAGAGCTAAGTTGTGACCATGTTTTCTCTCACCCCCCCACCCCCACCCTGTAAGCTTCATTTTCTTTTCCCTCTTAAAGTTTCATAGCAGAGGAAGGCACAGAGCTCCATAGCTTTAACCCCAGAACTCACGAGGCAGAGACAGACAGATCTCTGAGTTTGAGGCCAGCCTGGGCTACAAGGAGTTCTAGGCTAGTCAGCACTATATAATGAGACCCTGCCTCAACTAAACAGGCAGAAGCAGGTGGGGGTCATCAAATAGGTACCGCTGGTTAATTTTTTTTATCTCTGTGAGTTCTGTAGTTAATTTCTTACTCAGTAATAATAACAGTGCTAGCAACAGAAAACCGTAACAATAGCTGGAAGTGAGATATTGTCATCAGTTAGTCTATGTTCAAACCTCTTTCTGGCTATAATTCATTTTCCCTGAAGTGTTGGAGAAAAGGATGAATACATGATAAAGAGGAGGTTCAGGTAACAGGGATAAAACAGTTGTCTTGGATGCTTTTCCAGTATTACGTACATTCTGATAAAAGTAATATCCCCTGATTAATGTTCATTGAGCTCCTATGGTGGTACCAAGTCTCCACGATGCCTTGTTTAACTCAACTTCCTGGCAGCCCTTGGAGGAAGATGTGGTTTTCATAAGCATTTCACAGCTGAGAAATGGAAGCCTTCCCCAGTCAGCACGCGTGGAGGTGAGACTTGCTTCTGTCTGCAAAGTGGGTGTTCTATGTGCCATAGCCTTTCATTAGGACGAGAAGAGGATGAACAAAATGCCCCTGTTGGTAAAGTGGGCTTTACTATGATTGTCCTTATTTTAAAATAAATACTTTTTCTGCTCATGGCCCAGAACTCTCAGAGGGCGTAACTCAAGAAGCTCAAGTGTCTGAGCTGTGGCATCGCCGTGGCCGCCAGTCACACACACAGTGTCCAGAGGCCTCATTAAGGCAGCAGAACAATGGGATGGGTTGGAACATTAAGCGCAGCTGTACTGCGCAGGAATGTTGCCCGCGGGACGCAGGCCCCGGCCTTTATTGGGCGGCGCTGAGGGGGCTCTGGGCAGAGGGCACACGCTGCCTCCCAGCCCTGGAATGTGGCCGGCAGCTGACAGCCACCCCACTTGTCTGGGAAGGGGTGGCCTTAACCATAAATTAGGTCTTGAAAGCTGCCTCTGTGCATGCCTTTTTGTTGTGTGGCTCAAAAGAGTCGCTCAACTGGCACAATTGCTGTCAACAAAAGGAAGCTATCTTTGAACGGGGCAGGACTGGGGTTCCCTGGGAGGGGAGGTGTGTGTGTGTGTGTGTGTTCTGCTAGACTTTGTAAGTGGGCTCTACTGGGGCATGCACACAGTTTGAAGAAGTCTCTGCATCCAGGTAGGCACATCGCTCAGAGGACACACTACCTTTCTGGTGACGCACATGTGGACTGTGCGCACGGCAGAAGGACTTTGGCTCTCAGACTGCTGCAAACACAAGTCGCCCCCAGCATCTCCTCTACCAGATGCTCTAACAAAGACTGCCAGAGAAGCAGTGGGGATTTCTAGGATTCTGTTTGAGAAACTCAGAATCTGAAAGTCGATTCTGTCCCATGGGACACTGAATTGGGTGTTTCAACGCCTAGAGTCCTGGAGCCTTTGTTCAATAATGGGGTGGATGGCAGCAAATTCCTACATTCTGGTTTGGTTCTAAGTTTTTATGACTGCATGTAAATGAACTCTTCACGAAGAAAGGAAATATCTTCCCTCTATCTACCAAGGTCTATCTATAGATTAACACTGGTGCTAGCTCAGGGCAGGCATGAGAAAGAAAGAAACCCAGTTCTTCACCACAAACCTGTGGTCTTCTTTCTTTCTTCCTTCGTTTCTTCATTCCTTGTGTGTGTGTATGTGTGTGTGTGTGTATGTGTGTGTGTGTGTGTGTAGCCTTGTGTGCATTCTCTTCCCTTCAGTTAATAATAGACTCGGTTTGCTCTGGCTCAAGAAGACACAGTGAGAAAACATAGCACCACACTCAGTGACATTTTGCATTTCAACAAATGTGAAAACAGCAAATAATTTTTAAAAGTTTACCTCATGTAATATTTGGGTCACTTCCACTGAACTTGGAGCAGTCAGTCTTCGAGTCACAGAGGCGTTCTGATGTGAACGAGAGCTTACGAGAAATGGCGTGGAGATGAGCGAGGCCATCAGGAGAGGGAGGGGCCGGCCTTACCAAGGTCTTCAAGAAGAGCAAGCGGTAGTGTGTTTCATTTGTATCTTGATAAAGAAAGCTTGCCTGGAGATCAGAGAGTAAAACAGCTATACTGATCAGCCTTACAGACCAGGCAGTGGTGGCACGCACCTTTAATCCCAGGAACCACACTAGATTGCCATAGAAACAAGGCAGTAGTGACACAAACCCTTAATCCCAGCCCTAGAGAGGAGTATAAAATGGGAGGAGGCAGCTCTCAGGCTCAGTCTCATTCTGAGATTCCTGGAGGCAGGATCACCATTTCGTACTGAAGTAGAGGTAAGAGCCAGTGGCTGGCTGGTTTGCTTTTCTGACCTTCAGGTTGAACCCCAATTTCTGTCTCTGGGTTTTTATTAATCATGCTTCACCAAGCCCTCCATTTTCAGATAACTGAGCCCAACATCCATGTCCCCCTAAAACGATTCTGAATACTGTCCTTCACGCTTTTCCTGATTGATTCCTCCTACTTCCGAGGTCTTCTCTCCTGGATCCTCCTTTGGAGGGAGGAAGACACAGGGATGAGATTGAATGTTACAATGCATGCTGGGAACTTCCTGCCACATTGCAGCTGTCCCCTGGACAGGGAATCACACTCTAGTAGTCCGGGCAGGAAAGTGGGGGCTCACAGATGTGGGGTTGTTTGTTCATGGGCTGTACAGGCTTTATATATGGGTGGAGTGGCCAAGAGAGGCCTTTGGGATAGAATCTGTACCATTCCTATAACATGAAACCTTGAAAGACAGAGGCCAGGGACATGGGGGAACTCAGGAAAGGATGCTCATCAAGGTAATCCCTTTGATGGGGCTAGTGACATTGAACGCGCCAAAGAAAGACTTCAACAGACTGCACGTCTGGATGGCCCAATTTGAGTTTTTCTATCTTGTGGTTGTCGTAGAAATGACAAAGATAACTGTCGAAGATTCAAAAGATCATGACAGGTTTCTGACAAGATAAGAATGCTGAGGGCAGGAGAGATGGCTCAGTGGTTAAGAGCAGTCGCTGCTCTTCCAGAGGACTGGGGTTTGATTCCCAGTGTCCACATAGCTCTTTTCAGCCGTCTACACATCTAGCTCCAGGGGACCAGGTGCTCTCCTCTGGCATCTCTGGGCACCAGGCATGAACACAGCACAACATTAATGTACATAAAAGATAATAAAGCTTGAAGAAGAGAACTCTTGAGACATTAAGATTTGCTTCTTTTGTGTGTCGACTCATTGAGTAAGTTTGTATCGGGTACTTTCCCCGTTGCCTTAATAAGACACTGGGCAAAAGCAACCAAGGGAAAGAAAGGTTCGTTGTGGTTCCCTATTTAAGGGTAAAGATCCCTGTTGTGGGGGGAAAGTGTATCAGTGAGGAAAGGAGCTCTGGCTGTGAGGGCAGGGACTTGAGGCAGCTGGCCACACCGTATCTTCACTCAGGAAACATAGACACCATATCCGCACTCAGGAAACACAGAGAGATGAATGCTGGCCTTGATCACACTTTCTCCCTTTTCTTCAGCCAGAGACTCCAGCCCAGGGAATGGTATCAGTCACCTTCAGGGTGGGTCTCCCCAGAGTTACACCTCTCTGGATGATCCTGACAGACGCACCCGAAAGTGAGCCTCCTGGCTGGGTCTAAATTTCAGTCAGGTTGGCAATGAGGATTAACCCCCGAAGAGTTGCTCATAAAATCAAAACTGGGAGCCGCACACATTTCCGGCAGGGATATCTAGAGAGCTGGCCATTGTTTATCCCCTTCCCATTATCTCCTCTGTGTCCACATGTGTGATGGTCACTGACAAGGTCTCCAGTGACAAGAACTAACACAGGATGGTCGCTTCTGCGTCTCAGCCAGAAACAGCGTGACGTGAGACAGGAGGAGATGCACTCACAGGTGGGTCACTACCCACAGGTCCTTAGGAAGACTTAATTGTTCAAGGGACCCGGAGAGATTATGGATATGTATCAGGACACACGCCTGGTCCACGGGGAACCTTTAGAAGAGACTGTTGAAGTGTGTCTTCTCATCGATCAAATCCATATTCCGTGCTTTCTGGAGGAAGACCGCTGCCCCACCCCAGGAACGGAGTGGCAGTGGTGGCACTGGTTACTTTTCATTGTTGTGACAAAAATACCTGATGCAAGCAATTTAAAGAAAGAAGGGTTTGCTGTGAACCCCAGTTTCAGGAAGCACAGCACACTGTGGCGGCACAACCTGCCAGCAGCAGCCGGGGACAGGTGGTCACATCCACAACCAGGAGGTGGAGGGTGAACGGGACACAGAACTGGGCTGTAAAATCTCAAGGCCCAGCCCGCAGGGACCTATTGTTAGGGAATACTATTTTCAGGTGTGTGACTTTTGTTTACGCTGCCTTTGTTTAACTCTGCGAAGCTGTGTCACTGTGCCTGTCTAAAACACCTGACGGTCCCAATAAAGAGTTGAACGGCCAATAGCAAGGCAGGAGTAAGGGTAGGTGGGCTGGCAGGCAGCGAACATAAAAAGCCTAAGCTAAGGTGAAGCTTTCATAATTAGTTATAAATCTCCTTGTCATTATTCGGGGGCTGGCGGTCCAAAGAAAGTCCAACAGGAAAGATCTGGTACAAGGAGCATTTAGCAAAACTGTGATCTTCAGTCTTTACTGATTTGCTGGTGACTTTTGACGAAGCGGCCAGACTTTCAAAGTTTCTCATCTAGAAAAGGCACACAGTTAATGACGAGGGTACTTGAGAATGTCGTGATTTGAACAAGTTTTTGTGAACTTTCCCACAGATACATTTTATAATCGCCACATTGCTGTGATAAGATTTGGGAGAATACCCGAAAGCTCGGGCTGGTTTTTCGTCCCCTAGCATTTGACTGTCGAGCTGTGCTGATGGGTGAAAATGATCCCTAAACGGTACATTCGCCGTAAAGGGGTCACCTACGTTCCAGATTCATCCATCACCTCATTCATTCAGCTACTTACTTGTATGCATTCATCTGTGTCGCCAGTGCTTCGGCTACAACATGCCAAACGTGGGACTGGACGCTGGGGACACCACACTGAACAAGAGAGGCTGGTGCCCTCTGGAGGAAATTCACCCAAATTACACACCCGCTTGTCTCCACTTGTCCATTCACTCTCTTCATATCCCCGCATGACTCTGGATGAATTCATACGCTGTCTTGAAACTGAATCTCCTTGCTTTTGCTCTTTGGTACCGATTACTTCCCTGCATCCGTTTGAGCAGATTTTTCTCAGACTTGGTGGTCTGAAAGAACACCTGAAATCGCAGGGTCACCAGGGCTCCGGTTCCCCCAAGGATTCCACTGGAGAGCCTCCCTGGCTGGAAGATGTTCCTTGCTTGTGGGTGTCTGATATCTGTGTCTGTCTTCGTACATTCCTCTAGCCCTGTCTGCCTTTCCCAGACTGTCTCTTTGGGAAGACATTTGTCATGGATGGGGTTTGCAACTCATTGTGACAGGACAAGGCTATGTCTCTCAAAGTCCTTGACTTGGTTACATTTTAAGAAGTTTTTATACAAGTTAAGGTCACAGTTGTTGGTGACATGCCCTTCAGAGGCCCAGGGCATGTCCTTATTGGGGTCGTCATTCAGTCTACCATGAACCCCATAGAATTAGTTCAATTTCATAACATACACACTGGCCAACAGTTCTTATTTAAAAGCAACAAGTGGGAAATGTCCTGAGACTGGTCTTGTGTCTTCCACACTGCCAGGTTAACTCTGTTTGACTCTTCTCCCTGACTTCCTCAGGAGGATGCTCTGAACCCGCACTTAGCACCTCCCAGATGCAGGCAGCGGCCACTGACATTTTGCTGACCGAATTTCCTATGCTCCTACCCTGATATTCATTATATATTCATTCATTCACAGACCTGGTAGTCTGTAAGATTTCATTGCTGAGGGCTTATGCCCCAAGAAATTCAAACCTTGGCAGAAATAATCAAATAATAATAAGTATAATCTTGAGTATTTACAGTGTTCCAAACAAGGAGAAATCAAGGAAGATCTGAATAATGATTTTTTTTCCCTACCGGGCTTATTATATAATATCATTTCTTAAAGAGTCAGTGCTGTCTTTGAGAGGGAAAAACAGGCCCTGGGAGCAATGCCTATGTCTAATGCAAAACAGGCCTTTGTTACAAACGGAAATAGAAAAGAAAAGCAAAAACAAAACCCCCAAGTCAACCCTGCTGTCAGGGACTCATGAGCTGCCCGATTGAGGAGCTTCTCAGATGCTCCTGGGGCTTAGCTGAAATGAAGGAGGAGGGATCATATAAGCGGGGGTGGGGCTGGGTGATCAAGATCATGACTGAGGAAACCAGAGACAGCTGACCTGAGCTAGCAGGAACTCACGGACTCTGGACTGACAGCCGGGGATCCTGCATGGGACTGAACTAAGCCCTCTGAACGTAGATGACAGTTATGTGGTTTGATCTATTGGGTGGCAGGGAGCCTGGCAGTGGGACCAAGACTTATCCTGGGGTCTATGAACTGGTTTTTTGGAGTCCATTCCCTATGGTGGGATACCTTACTCAGTCTTGCTATAGGTGGGAGGGGCTTGGTCCTGCCTCAACTAGGTATACCAGACTTTGTTGACTCCCCAAGGGAGGCCTTACTCCCTCTGAGGAATGGATGTGGGAGAATGGGGGGAGGTAGGGGAGCTGAAGAAGGGGAGGGAAGGAGAACTGAGGCTAGTATGTAAAATTTTTAAAAATTTAAGTAAAAAATATAAGAGCTTCCGTAATTTATATGGAAGTCATTTATGCATTAGAGATTAGAATATCAAACGAGGTATTGGGTGATAATTTAGGAAAAATTATTACTTCAGTTCTAAGTGAAAAGCTGGGTTTCCATATCAATCGACCACACAGAGAAAATCTAACTTAGCACCACTCTTAACCACCAACTGTTTGGATTATTTTATTCACGGAAGTCTTTCCTTCTCCTCCCTCCATCCCATCTTTCCCCCAGCCTTCCCTCACCAAAGCATAAGGAATCCGTCTGGTAGGCATGATGCTAAATCCGAAGAACCTAAGACGACTGAACACGTATAAACAATATGCACACGCACAAATATGTTCGCGAGAAAGTGATGTTTGAACAGAACCTCAATAGATGCTGTGGGTCGCCAGCTTGTCAGTATCTTGGGTGGGGTCGTGCATGTGCGTCAACTTAAGATGTCACGACCAGGGGGCGCTGGGAAGCTCGCACGGATCTCACAGGTGCCAAGGAGCTGCATTTGTGTAGATACACTAACCAACCAACCAAATAAACAAAACCGCACAAGAAAACAACCAAACGAAAAACACCCAGCCTAACAATTACCACGAAAGATAGACGAGGCAATGTGATTAAAAACAAGAAAAAAAAAAAACCTTCACAGTTCTGCATGGAATAAACGACGGAAGGAAAGTAGGGTTTGGGAGCTCGTGAAGCTCGCACAGCGACTCGTGGTCACCAATCTAGACACGTGAGCACCTGGGGCTGGAAGGGGTTGCAGGGCTCAGCAAACGCTGGGAGATCATCAATAGGAGATGAGGGATTAGAGGGGGTAAGGCCACCTTCGTGTTTCCGTGGCCTGAAGGGAATCCGGGTTGAGTTGTGAAAATTCCCACCTACGGGGCAGTAGGGGATATGGTCATGAGAACTTAAAATTTGTTTCTTTGATCCTAAAACATTCCTCGCTTGCCCGGAGTAAAAGCCTTTCTTTAGGCTGTTCCCAGAGGTGTGTATACCGGGAATCCGCCACGAGGTGGCAGCAGAGCACAGGCCATCTCCACCACAGGCCTTGGGGCGGTTCCCCTGGGACCCCATCCCAGAGAATCGCCCCAGCACCAGAAGTCGGTATAAAGAGGAAGATAGCCAGTCGTCAGTGACGCCTTCGTTCTGTTAGAGGTCATCACCTATGTATTAGCAGCGACTTTCAAAACTAATGGGAGATAAAAGTATTGCAGTGGTCTTTTTGATAATTGTACATCCTGTGGGTTTTCTTCACGTCTACCCTTTACCACAGGACCATGCTTTTTGTCTTCAGATGCGGTTGGTCCGAACCTGGATCAACACCATTTCCTTGCTTGCAAGTATTCGTCTGAAATAGTCTCAATTGCTCCTTTTTAATGTGAAAGCAACAGGTATCAACGGTGTCGTGTTATGATCCTGTAGCTGCTCTGAATGCCTCACTTAGAAAACTGGCTATGGAATTAAGATAACCTACGTCTATCTTCCTACTGGAATCCCAACTGTAGTGTGTCACAGAACACGGAAAGGGCCGTGCCCCTCCCCTCACTGGGTTTTCCCTCTTACAGGAGAGCCCTTTACCTGAGGTTTCCAACAGGACGCAGGCTCTGGATGAAGCCTGGTGCCAACTCAGGTTAGTAACACTTTGATTTTATTCTCACTTCTATCTTCAGAAAAGAATATACAGGTCCTTTAGGCGAGTTTTCTTTGCGCTGCAGTGAGCGAGCCCATGTCAGCCTGTTCATTCTGCAGGCGGCGAGGCCGAGACAGCTCTATAGGCCTTCCTTCCCTCCGAAGGTGAGGACGGGGTTCCACCCAGCCGTGACATCACGGCAGGGAGCTCCGCGGCAGAGCTCTCCATCCTTCCACACTCAGGCAGGCAGAGCGTGGGTTAGAGGAAACGCTGCACACCGAGCCGCTTCCCGTATTTATTAATTATAGTCTGACAGTACAAGACATCATAGCAAGGTACACACCGGGAGCTCTGCTTCAGAGCCGTTTCCCCAGTCAAGGTAGGAACTTTTTGCAACCATATCTGATTTTCTTTTTTTTTTTTTAAAAAAAAAATCCCTCGAGGCTTGATTCAATGCCTGGCTCTCTAAAGAATGATTTAATAAAATGCTCACTGAGATGGAATTTGAAACAAAGGCAACCTTCACAGAACATTACATTTGAGCAAGTATAAGATACTATAGAGGGCTTTCTGCTAGCTCCGAGTTTAGCACAACAGAACTTTCTAGACTAGTGAGACTGTTCCGTGTCCGAGCTGTCTACTCTGTTGGCTGTTCCCTACAATGTTCTTGAGCACTTGAGATGTTGAGAGTGAGAAAGACTGAAGCATTTGATTTCTTCTTCCATTTTATTTAGTTTAAATTAAAACCATCGCAGATAGTTAGTTAGATAGTTAGAGGTGGACATGCCGGACACCTCAGGGAGGAAAATTTTCCTTGCATCTTTCCGAGTTCCTGGCTGGGACCCCTGTGATGCAAACCATCTGACCGAATGGTGTGCACTGAGTATAAGTTTTTCATGAAGTTGGAGGCATCGTGAAGAAATAAAGATCCAAGGAGGGTAAGAGTCCCTAGTAATAAATAGTATCTTGTGTTTATAAAATATGAATTAAGATTAAGCCTCAGAAGATTCTGTTCATCATGTTTCTATTAAAGGTAAGAAAAACGAAAACCAACCTTACAGGTTTACGAATAGACACATACGTCATGTGATACGGCGAAGGTGAGAGTATGTGTGGTGACAATTTTAAATGGGACAGAGTGTGACAGAAGACAGGAACCTGTCGATATTCCAGCTCAGTGCTGAATGGTAGGGAGATGGGTGCTATTTCCTTATCGAAATAAACATAAGTACCAAGGACAACATCAATATAAGTCTGTACAACTGAGTATCTGAATGCAGCTTGTATATATCTGGATCATCTACACATATAGCTAGGGATGGATAGGCAGGCTGTCTAAACCGAAGTTGCCCCTTCCAAGACAATATGGTGGTGATCATCCGGGAATTAACTACATCATAAAGAGCATTAAATGGGAAAATTAATTGAAAGTCCTTAGGTCATTAGTTGGCATCTCTTAGGAGATCAATAAATGTACACATGATTATTCTGTGGGTGAGAAGAGAAGAGCACTTTCGGATGCCGTGCGTTTCTGTTCACACCTTTATCTGAGACACCTCATCCCGCAAACCATCCTTCTTCCTCACGGTTCTCCGCTTTCCTTGTTTCCACTGAGATCTGATTAGGAAAGCAGAAACTACTCTAAGCATCCCGAGCAGGTGGAGGGCTAATGTAGGGAGCTACAGGTTCATGGAAACCTACTGGGAGAGCTGGAGGCAAGCGTGGACAAGGGTCAAAGAGCTACAGCCAGTTCTCAGGAAAACGGAATCTTCAGCAAGTATGGGAAACTGTCACCAAAGACCTCAGCTGCTGCGTCACCATAGGGACGATTCTCAGGGGAACGACTGGAGTGGAGGAATTTCCTGTCACTCCTTCATTCCCTTTTGTCAAATAATAGTAGCATCTGCTTGGCTTCTGCCCCTTTCCTTGTCAGGTCTGTCCTCTTATTGGTGGTCTCTAAGGGATTCTGGGAGATATAGTTTCCAAGTTTCTCGCCTCTGAAGTAAAAGATAACAGAGGAGAAGTTGGGGATGCACGCCATGGGAAAACAAGCACCATGTGTTAGGCATCCCTTCCTTTCCAGCCGTGATCCCCTGCTCGGACTGTAGCTCGCTCAGACTTCTCACTTCTTCAGCAAAATCCTTGGCCTCCTTCCCCCCTGAGCTGGCTGGATAGTCCTCATGCTTCTTTATTTCTTTATTAGAATTCTCTTGAAAATAATATCTGCACAGCCCCCGAGGTGTTTTCCTACATCACGTCTTCACCTTAACTCACCTTGGCTCCTGCCTCCAAATCATCTCAAAAGCTAGGACCAGGGAGCTGTGTGATCTTTGCTGTACAATCTGCATTTTTCTATAGCATTTGACAATGCTGACCACTTTGTTCTTTATGAGACTGTCTGTCCTTTTAGCTTCTTCACAAAACTAATAACCATAGTGCTGCAGACTTACAATAGAATTAGCCATAATGTCTCTTTTTCTAAGTAAAACCCTTCACACCTAACTAACAGGAGGCTGATTACATCTTTTTCTTGAGCCTGTTGGCTTTACATCATCTATTATCAAGGCTGAGAAAAATCCAGACTGGAGGATTGCTGGTGTTTGGTCAGTTCCTCTTACTCCTGTTTCCAGCCGTCCTGAACCCCAATGACCAGAGAGCATCACTGCAAAGAATCTGCTTTAGTTCCTCGGTGGTCAGTTTGTCAGTCTAGCACAATCTAGAACAGCTCTCAATCTTCCTGAAGCTGCGGCCCTATAATACAGGTCCTCGTGTTCTGGGAATGAAAAGATGGCTTCTACACTGCAGAAGTTAGGAGACAGAGGCTTAGTCCACTGCCCCAGATGGCAGCAGGTTTCAGAAATGACCATGTTTTGATGGGTGCTAACTATTTATAGTTCCCTGATTTATACTCTTTACCTAATGCAGCGAAAAAGACCACCTCCAACCTGTGAGTTCAGGAGCTGGGAGACAATCCAGGGACCCAATATGTCTCGTTCCCAAACACAGTCCTTCACTTTCTGTCGACAAGAAAGCCTGGTTGAACTCTCCCTTGAGGCAGCAGCCCTTAGCTGCATCCCATGACTGGCAGCCTTTCAGGTTACCCTAACACTCAACAGAGGGCGAGGCTGGCAAGAAACTGTATCAGCAGATCTCCTTGCATGAGGCAAGGTGTTGACTCCCGTTCACCAACACCCAAGATGCCACAGAATTTGTAAAAGAAAAGGGAGAGGATTTGGGGAGAGGGGACCCTAACAAAAACAAACAACAGAAACCTTGAACTCTTGACCTTTCATTGCTGCCCTGCCTCAAAGATAACTGGAACAAAATTCTTAACCTCATCAATAAGTTCTCCTGCGAGACTAGACATAAATTAGTTTCTGTTACAGAGGAAGATGGTTTTTAGGGCTAGGGGACATCCAGAGGGTGCACCACAGAAAATGAACCCGATGGCTGTCCCCTGCTTCTGGATTGCTACTGTGACTCTTCTCTCCTTCTCGAAATCCCATTCCCTGAAACTGTTGGGCAAAGTGGGAAAATATTGTGACAAACGTTGCTGTTTACGCCTGCAGTGGGGGCAACTGTTTTGTTTGCCTGGCCTGTTGCCTCTGCCGCTCTTTCTCATGGCTGGCGGCTCCCTGACAGCTCGGATTCCTCTGCGGACATCTGCTATAATGAGAGCTCAGACAGGAATAGATTTGCAAAATGACGGACTCACAATGGGACAAGGAGCCCGGTCTCCAAACTTCGCCTGAGATAAGCAGATGGGGTCTGAAACGGAGCATTTGAACCGATTAGGTCTAGGTGAACGCCTGTATTCAGTACTCCGGAGTCATTCTGTCCCCAACTTTTGTCCCTCCCTCCTTCACCCTTCACTTCCCCCCGGGTGTAGACATGGGAGGGTACTGATGGCATGGGGTGGGCTTTTTCTTCTTCTTCCTCGGCTCTGTCCTGGAGACGGGCCCTTCCATTCCCTCAAGCAGAAGCACGCTGGGCATTTACCCAGTGCCAACCATGGAACAACAGAGCAGACCCACCCCACGGGCCTCATAAAGGGACGCTGGGGCAGCACATGGGGTTTTCCCACTCGCCACAAACGACGGCTGTTTGTGTTAGTTAACCTCTTCCAAGCCCGGGTCATCTCCTGCTGGGAGGCAGGGGCAATCTGGAGGGAATGAAAGTCTGGCAGACCCCGAAGTGTCCTGCACTCCTTGGCCCCCAACGTAGGCCACTGCCGCTACAGAATACCAAACAATCTCACATGACGCTCTTCATAAGTTAGCTGGGCCATGTGCTGCTGACAGGCCGGATTCCGATGAGCTGTCCCCGGGAGACTAATTCTGCACGTCTTCCGGGCGATTTGAGGGTCCTGGCATGGGTCACCTTCTTGATGTAGAGGATCTTCCAAAGAGGAATGAGATGGGGAATGCCCATCCCAGGATTCATCATTCGCAGCCTTCCCATGAATGGTGACCAGATATGACTTTGTACTTTTAAAGCTCAAATCAAGCTGAGAATACACATTTAAAAAACTTGTACCCCAAGCTCGTGAACTGACAGAAATCAAGCCAACCAGAGTTATCTTAAGAGAAAGACCTCCCTCCCCCCACATCCCGCAGCCGTCAAGATCCCTTCTGTGGTTCTCTGTGGGGGAGAATCTGGAAGTTCTTGAGGGTGATATGACCTAAGAAAGTAAGGAAAAGGTTGAGCTCAGAGGGAACTTTCATGAATTACTTCCATGGGGCAGGGTGAAGGGAATGCTGCACACACGTTTAGCGACGGCGGGCGTGAATTCAACACCCTCAAGTAGAGCAGATTTTCTCATTGTTCAAAGACCTGGGTATCATAAAGATGCACTTGGATCCGCAAGTAGCAGGCTGGACTATCTCACAGCCTCGATGGCTCCTGTCAGCCGAATGCAGACCCACTAATCTACTCCAGCAGGACCCCAGCGGTCTGCAGAGCTCCAATCTCCAATCTCCCACCCCTCACTGTCCCCTGCT